GCGGGTGGCTGCTGGAAGACCCCATGTCTAAAACAAGACTCTGCACCATGCCACACAAGCAGAACTTGGTCATGGCTGTCAGACAATTTCTGTGACCACATCACCCCTTGCATCTGGCCACCTAACTCCCTAGACTGCAACTCCCTTGGTTATTGTTTGGGGCGCAGCTGAGCAAGAGACCAACAAAACTCCTTGTAACACCAAAGTTGAACTGAAGGCAAGGATTATGGCAGCATTCACCAACTTAAACAAGAAAACTGTCAAGAAGATTTGCAGATTCCAATGTTGTCTTGAGGCTGTGGCTGAAACCAATGGTGATTTTATTGAATTTACTCTTTAGTATTTAAAGATATTTTTGTGCAATTTTGGTAAACATATCTATTAAAGTGAGATGTTAGTATTATTTTCATCTTTGTGTAATTTAGACAATTTATCCATCGCACCCTGTATAAGAGGAGCACCAGACCAGATATGGCAGCAATATTCAATGCACAGATGAAGGGTAGATTTATAAATGTACAAGATGGATTCTGATGACACTTTCTTGGTAGACCTAGCAACCGATTCAATATAAATCCACTTCATGTCAGTGAAACATGCGAGCCCAAGAAGGCACAAAGAGTTGCTGCCTTGGATATTAACATCAGCCACACTGATGGAAAGCAGAAAAGGTTCTCTATGGTGATTATAAGATAGTAGTTTTATTTTGGAGGCTTTGAAATTTACAAGCCATTCCTTGCACCAGTTAACCACTGATCGGAGGTCATTTCTGAGAGCAGTTACCAATTTTACTTTGTGGAACCCATTAGACTTGCTAATAAGATAGGAATAAATAGTTCTGTCATCAGCATAAATAGCTAGTTGGGAACCGATGACATTGAGAAGATCATTGATGAAGCTAAGAAACAATTCAGGTCCAAAGATAGAGCCCTAAGGAACCCTGTCAAACACCTCCTAGATATCTAAAGCCACAGCCCAAGCCTTATCATTCTTATCTAAAGACTAACAGACAAATTCATTAATGATTGTTATCAGCAATAGACCAAGTGAAATGAAAGTCATACTGTTTATCTAAAAGTAAACCATGTGAAGTGAGATGTTTAACAAATTCAGCATTGATTAGATCCTTTAGGACTTTGCCAAAAAGAGGTAAAAGATTAATAGAACGATAATCCGAGGAGTCAGAATGTTCAGAGTTCTTAAAGACAGAAACTACAGAAGATTTCCAACAAGCTGCATGGGTGACCACTTGGGAATACCAGGTGTTGTAAGCTTGGATATCTGGGTGGTGTAATGGATAATGGTTTCTTAATTGGAGAGCCAAGTTCCAATTCCAGTAGGGTTTGTTATATTTGCTTTTGTGCAAATACTCTCAGGAAATGTATGAATCTACCTCATCTCCCCTCTGCTATGGGTTAATTAGCAAGACTTGTATCACTAAACTATTATTATTTCCAAAAAACATACATACATACACAATTTGACAAGACATTAGAGTAATACATTTCACCCCCTCAGTCTAGACTGCTCCTACCCTGGGCTGATCAATAAAAAATCAAATTTGGAGACAAAAAAAAATAAGGAAAAGAGAAGAGAAAGATTTGTTGATACAAAAAAATTCAAATAATTATAAAATTTTATTGAACTTTTCAGAAATTATTCAGTTGGAAATGGAATTATTTTTTTAAAGTACCATTTTTTTTTTCAAATTTGTTAAAATATTTTTAGGTCTGTCATTGAAGTAAAGTATACAGACATTTGTGTTAACACATCAGCAGTTGACCTAGAGAAGCAAAAGCCACATTTCTTGTCTGAAATGAGGTGCTTAACCAATTAGTTGATTAGAGCCTTTAGGACTTTGCTGAAAAGTGGTAAAAGATTAATAGAATGCTAATTAGAGTGATCGGAAGTTTCATCCGAGTCCTTAAAAACAGGAATTACAGAAGAGAATTTTCAACAAAATGGAAAGCAAGAAACAGCAAGGCATTTATTGTAGAGTTTGGAGAGAACAGGAGCCATTTCAAATTGAGAGAAGATAGTGGATATAGCAAAATAACCAAATGATGAGAACATATTCCTGGATGAAATAAAGGGCTCCAGTCAAAACTCTTTGAGGAAAGCTGAAGACCAAACCGGATTAAATTCTGTGATATGAACAACTAAGGAAAGGATGCTAAGAAATGGCTTTATGTCTTATACTATTGATTTTAAAGTTGTTTGAAGGAGAATTAAATGGCAGTGGTTTTATTGCAGTGTGGATATACAGATGGTGTAAACATCATAGAACAATAAATTGGCAGGCTCAGTTCAAATTACAGTTGAGTCTGTTATATTTACTTTCACAAATACTCTTGAGAAAGATATGAATCCATCCCTTCTCTCCACACCTAGGGTTAAATAAAAAGGCAAACTTGGCTCTTCAGCCTTGGTTGGCAACCAGTCAAAAAGAATGCCAATTCTGAATTCAAAACTAGTTGGGCATGGTGCTAGCAACTCCATCCTGTGAAACCTACTTTACTATAGAAACCGCAGCAGCCACACCTAGCATTTTGAGAGCTGTGACCCTAGTGGCGTCTATGGACTAGAGGGAATCAAGTGGTCTTATTGCAGTAGTAAAAATTGGCTCCAAATGCAATAAAATAAGCAAATCACTTCAAAAAATATACAAGGATATCTGGATTGTTCAAAAGTGAAATTTAAGCAATTAAGAAATTACAAGTGTTTATTAATATATAATTTACCTAAAATTAGTATAATTTCATATAAAATGAGGTAAGAACTTTTCAACTATTTTAAAACATTTACTGTTTTTTTAAAACTTTTTTCAATACACTGTGTCAAACAATCTCTAAAGATTGCTGAACTCAAACTGGATTCTCTATGTTTTTTTTTCCTATGGTTAAGACAATGTTGTTTGTTCTAGGGTCTGATCCCTGAACAAACTTTTCATACTGTCATCTAATAGAACAACAAAACCAAGTGACTATATAATTTGCCTTGTTTTGAGAAACAGAATATTTTCCAGTCACAGATATTCTTTCATGTGTGGTAGAAATAATCATTTTATTGATTATGCAGGAAGAAATATGTTAAAGTTTTTTTTAAGTTACATTTGAAATTATTCTTCCTGGACAGAGCTGGTTATCACTTTTAGTCTTAAATAAATCACAAAAGTTATTTAATTTAAATATACTGAAGTTAAAATATATCAGGAAATATTCTTTTTATTTATTAAGTGTACTATATTTTTTTTTTAATGAAAATGTATATTTTTGTCAAATTTTTATGTAAAATGTATATGATGCTATTTTATTCAAGAATTTTTTTTTTAAATTTTAAGAAACATTTTTAAGTTTTAAATTTACTCTTAAATAAATTATAGTAATGTAAAAATAAAACATTAATTTTAAACTGAAAATTAATATTCAAAACAATAAATTAAAAAATAAAAATAAAACTGAAACAGTGAAAAAAATTTAAACAGTAAAAAAAAATTCGTTCGGTTAAAAATGATATTTTATTTAAAATTAGGAGGATTATTAGCATCTAAGAAAATGAGGAATTCTTTCTTCTTCGAAGAAAGCTTTACAAGACATTTAGAAAGATGATACAATTCCTTTTTGTATCCCGACCAAAGAATGCAACATCAAACAAACATTGATGCTTTCTTTGCACATGTAGTACTGTACAGCTTCACCTGTTAGTTACGAAGTGTTTCACTAGTTTCAGTGACTGAGAATGGTAAATGATTATATAGCCTTTGTTAGAAAGAGTACTGTAGGCTTTCCAATAATAGCGAAATAAATCGCAGCCCCGGCAATTTTTTTAACGATGGGGACAAGTGTCACCGCATGGCGTTTGCTACAAGAAAAAAAAACCGTGTTGATTCCCTTTCGATGCAACCAAAAGGGTTTCACTATCCTTCAATTTTGAGTTTGACGCACGCGGTTCTATTTTGGGTTTCTTAGGCAACTTCGCTTTCAATTTCTATTTTCCCTGGATTTCTAATTCCTTGTTTCTCTTGTTAGTTCTGCAGTAAAAATTCGCAGACTTTGTGTAGCAGTTGCCGCATGCCTGATTTTCAACCTGTTCTTGCCGTTTTAGATTTGATGCGTGTACTATCGAGCCAGGTTTTAAATGGATGATAAACAAAACACTATTATACTTTCCCCTTGAATTAATTTTTAAAATTTTAATATAAATCGTTGAATTACAATTTAATTTATATCTCTTTTACAAAAGAAAATGTTAGAGAAAAATTAACAATTCATTATCTACTGCAGTCTCTAGAGAATTTGGAACGAGTTCAGGAAGAACCGGATGTTGTTTAACAAAAAAAGAAGTTTTTTTTTCTCCGATAGTTTGACGATATATGGAATGGTATCAAAGAGGTTGAGAGAGCAACCTTTAAAAAAAAAAAACCGAAAACGCATGGACGAAGGAACTAAGTACTTGTTCGTCGGATGATTGCTTTTTAAAATGTAGGAACTTGGATTAATATTAAAAGGTTGTTCTATTTTAAATTAAATGTATTTAGACTAGGTGAAAGACAGATTGTCTTGGTGTGAAAAACAGAATCTCTTATTTTACTTAATTTTTCCGGTTACTTAAAAAAAAAAAAAATAACAAACAAGCATTTAAAAAAAAAAAAAAATTCCGATCCTTAGATTAGATCTGTTGTCTTTCTTTCAACACTCAGTTCAAACTACTGGAGGCGAACACAGGAATTAAAATCGGAATGAAAAATAAGGCAAGAAAACATTTATCCAGCAGTTGGCTAAAGCCTAAATTGCGTAAAAAGTAAAATAACACAGTAATATTATCTATAAACATAGAAATGCGAGCAACTCAAGTTCAAATTTTCTGCTCTTCTTTTATCCTCGACCCCCGATGTTTGGTTGTACTTTTAGCAAAACATGCATGTTTAATTATAATTTCACACGCGTGCAAAAAAAAAAAAAAAAAAGAAAATTTGTAAATTATTAGCTGAAAATACTCACCCTATACTTCGATAAGAAAAGATCGAACTTAATGAAAAAAATAATAATAATCCAACTAATTGGAAAAACGAAATTTTATCTTCCTGAAGTAATAGAGGCTACAGAATTCCGCAGTGAATAGAAGGCTTGCTCGTCTTTGGTTAAAAATAACGTGTGACGTCCTCTGGCGACAATTCTCAAGGGGGATAACTCGCATGCGTTGCTCTTTTTAGCAGACGATTAAATTTAAAGAACGCAAAAAAAGGTTCGTTATTTTTTCTTATAATAAGAAAAATATTTGTTCCAATAAAAAAAAAGTTAAAAAATAAAACAGGATGGAAGACATGCCAATTCATTCTGCCATAGAGGAGTTAATTAATGTTATTTTCTTCGAGCAGAAGAAAATGTTAACTTTTGAACATTTCCCTATGGTTGCTGTAGAAATCAAATCTGGAATAAAATCCAAAGCTAGCAATGACCAACATTTGTACAAAATTATTGTTTCCGGGATATATAAGGTTCCTGATATTTTAATCTATATACAGAAAGGTTTTCTTAAAACATTATTGCTGATTGTAAAAAAGATGCAGGCTCTGGTTAAAAATGACTGCCATTTATGTGAGATAGAAATGTGTACAGAATCCAGTTGTATAAAGCAAAGAAATTATAATATTATTGAACATCCCCAGACAGGTGAGGACCAAATTAACCAAAGTGAATTTCAAGTAACTAAAAATTTAAAATATAAAAACAACTGGTACTTTCAAGTCTACCAGAGACACCAACATATGGTGTCTGAATGTAGAAGTGTTTATGAACATCTTCAAAAATTAAAAATTTTTAACCCTGAAGACATTTTTAAATATAGTCTGGAATTATTTGAAATTAGCTGTCATCCAAATCTTTCTTCATCTCCAACATTTGAAATAAATGGAAAAAAGTTACTAAATGTAGCAGAGTCTCATGCAAAGCAGGCTATTACAAGAAATTTACATTTAAAACCAATTTTTGGCTTATCGGTTGCTGTGAATATCTTTCAGCAACATGGCAAGAATATTCTCAAGTTAACATCAATTGGTTTAAATATCCATGGCAACAATTTAACTTATGATGAAAGAAAAATGTATTTATTCGAGTTCTTTATTTTTGGTCCCTATGGAGAACCTTTACATGCTTCAGAGCTTAACAAAGAAATATCTGATTTAGTTTTATGGAAGAAATATGGACTAACACTGACATCTACCAATTTTTCAAATGTATCAAATCCTTCTCTGAAGCCAGAATGCTACATCATTGCGCAGCCTAACACAGTGAATGTATCAAGTGAAAACTATTCTCATTTTGTGATCTATTTGATTTTTGAAATAAACTATAAAGCTGACTTTGGAAATATAAATATTCTTGGTGAACTGCATAATAACTTAGGGTCTGTCTTACATAGAAATAAAGTCCAAATCAAAGAATCAGTAGAATGTGTTACTGATAAATTTTTAGCCCACAAGTTAAATGCCAATCAAAAGAAACTAGTGGAGGATAATGCCATTAATACGATCAGTGAATCCATCTGGAATATAGTACTGAGATCAACTAATGAAGATTTTCGAGATAATTGTCTGTTAACTTTAGGAGCAACATCTGTTCATGAATTAAAAATGTTGGTTGAAAAGAAATTAAGAAAAGTGAAAACAAAACAAATATCCATGACAGATAATGACAACCAGAATACATCATGTAGTTTTGACATGCTTGAACAAGTTTGTCCTAATCTAGACAATATAGATTCATTGTTTGAATGATTTCAAGACAGCAATATCAAAAATAAATTGAAGTTAGTCAGCCATTTGATATTGAGAAAGTTTATAACTGGAATTTTTATTCTCTTTTTGTTGATGGCTTTATTTCTTTCTAAAAAAAATAAAAACTCTTGGATGGCCTACTGGATAAATGGATTAAAAATGCATCCTCGTTTCAAACTGGAATATTCAACAAATACTGGAGTCTACGATAGTAAAGACTAAAGGTTGGCTACAGTAGCATCTTCATCTGTACATTAAATTAAAGGAAATATTCAGTTATTTGTGAAAAAACAGTATTCAAATAATTAAAATGTAAGATTTATTTAAATTACTATATCAACACTTTATTTATATTTATATATATATATATATATATATATATATATATACACATATATATATATATATATATATATATATATATATATATATATATATATATCCAAATTAGAGAAAGAAGAGAGGGAGTACAATTACACTGTTCATAGCATTTACTTTTTTAAAAAGTGCTCAATACAAAGTAGACCAATATATTATTATTATATTTTTGTGTCCTTGAGGACACATGGCACAGTGGATAAAGGCATTTGTTAGATCCAGTGACAGGACCCAAAGAGTGTGAATTCAATACCTGGTTAAGGCAGTGGAGAACTTGGAGGGGGGAATTAACAGGAGAAAACTGACATCCATTAGACATGGCACATGGAACTAAAACAGTCTACCTCAGTGAGTGAAATAAAGGGTTCAGTTCAACATTTCAACCACCTGAAGAAGGCCAGAGTGTACAACAGCTGAAAAGTGATAAATATGGCAACAAAGATGAAAACAATAGTCCAAATAATGTACATAATACCTCATCTCAGAAATATAGACAGATACTAAAGTGTTACCTCTTTTTCAAAAGTTAAAGTGGGAGGGGGCATAAGGTGAGAATTAAAAATAGACTTGTGGGTATGTCTTGATTAACCAATTTCTATTTAGCATAGATTTGACAATTAATTGGTTAATCAAAACATACCTACAAGTATATTTTTAATTCTAACTTTATGGCCCTACCCTTTAACTTTTGGAAAAGAGGTAACACTGTTTTTAAATTTCCTTAAAAATCATTTTATTCACCAGTTTTTTACCATCACCTGAAGAAGTACAATCAAGGTATTGAAACATGAAAGCTTTTGTGTAGCAATTCCAAAATGTTTTTATTAGAATTTCTTATAATAAAAATATTATATATATATGTGTGTGTGTGTGTGTGTGTGTATTTAGGCAGCAATCCTTCTTTAATGCACATCTCATTGAGTACAACAGACAAATTGCTTTTAGTTATACAATTTCTAATGTATTCTAAAAAAATTTTTTCTTTTCAGATCTCATTTAAATATTTATAGAAATCTACCAGACCCTATTCATAATATACTTGTTGACAACACAAATATAATAGCATCATCTACATGCAAAAAAAAAAAGGCTAAAATTAATGGAAGCCTTACTAATAAAAACAAAAAACCCAACACTCAATAATATCAACAATGAACATGGACACAATATCTTGACCATGTTTTGAAAAATGAAAACAATATAAATACATACATGCAACAAACTATTTCTTATTTAACAGTTAGAATATTAATCTTTGAAAATTGCTAAATGTATAGAAGAAAGTACTTGGAAAAAAAGAACATTTGTACAGTTTTTATATAATTTATCATCTGAAAAGAAAAAAATTATTAGTACACGAGAAATTGTATAAAACACTAAATCAAAGCACCTTGTCTATCATATTCAATGAAATATATATATATATATATATATATATATATAAATGAAATGGACAAAGTTCGACAATTATTTTAAGACATATTTTATGTTTATACATTCTTTTTACAAACATTTAAATGCTCTGTTTATAATAAACAGTATTAATGACATTTACCGGCCTGAATGTCCAAGAAATTTTCATAGAAAATATGCGTCCTCTGACAGGAATCAAACCTGTATCCTATACGGAACTGTCATATAGCCTGACGTGCTTTACCAATTGAACCACAGAGGAGCATTTTGGTTAGCAAGGTCGATTTTACTGTTTTTAAACTACAATTCTATAAAAATTTCTCGGACATTCAAGCCTGTAAATGTCGTTAATACTGTTTATTATAAACAGAGCATTTACTTAAATATTTGTATTTATAAAAAGAATGTATAAATATAATATATATATATATATATATATATATATATATATATATATATATATATAGATAGATAGATAGATAGATAGATAGATAGATAGATAGACAGATGTATATATTAATGTATATTTGGGCAGTAACCTTTCTTTTAAACATCTTTTATTAAATATGACAGACAAGAAAACTTTAATTAATTTTTTATTTAGTTCTTCCAGTGTTCTTACATTTTTCCACTTGGCAGTAGTAAGGTAGTACAAAATTGTCTATATTGTCCATTGTCTCAAGTGCTTTTGATCACTTCTTTAGCCATTTTCAAGGGGGTTTTGTTTAGGTGCTGTTAAGATCTATTTTTTATGTTGTTTTGTATAGATTATTTCATTTTCATATAGTTTCTTTTTATTTATATTTGTCATGAATGTCATGCACTAACTATGACTATTTTGAATATAAATGGTAATATTACTAATTCTGTCCCATAATAGTCATTACATTTCATGTATCACATACATATATGCAAATGTAATGACTAATATGAGACAGAATTAGTAATATTACCATTTATTATTTGTTATTAGATTAGATCACTGTTCTGCATTCTAATTAAAAGTAAATAATAATGATGAGACTGTTCTAATACTATCAAAAGTTTTTGCTGATAAGAGTTCATTATTTAACACATGATGGCAAAGTCAAGAGATTTACTTGACCCCCAACTGAGTCTGGTTGTGACACAAGGTCAGTTTTTAAAGTGGGGACCCGAGTGTTTTCACTTGGGCCGCTGGTCTTAGCTAGTCATAACTTGTCCAAGCTGGTCAGAGCTGATCTTGGCTTGTCAGAGCTGGTCCAAGCTGGTCAGGGCTGTGATACCACCAGCACAAGGACAGATCCCTTATGCCAGGTAAGTATCCACAAAGTCTTTACTTAGATGCCATGCTAATTCCTATATATACATTTCCTTTACCATCACGTGATCTACTTATTCAAAATGGGATTGCCTGTGTTTGCTCTCTGGTGATCTGTGTTCAAACTCTAGTGTCAGTCAGCAGTAACACTTTATTCCTATATAACAAGTATTATTTTGTTACGAGTTTTACTTGCATTGCAGTCACCAACTTAAACAAGACCACTCAGAAGAGTTGCAGAAGAGTCTGGAGGCCGTGGTTGAAGCCAATGACAATCTTATTGAATAAATTTACATAGTGTTTCAAGATATTTTTGTGTAATTTTGGTAA